GAGGGGGCAGAGGGGGGGGGGGAGGTGTTTGTTGCATGAGCTTGGCCAAGAAAGTTTTGATTTCAGAGGGATGAAGCTGCCCTAGTTACAGGGGTCCCCGCGCGGGCCTCGCACGGTCTGGCAGAGGGAGGCTGTTGTGGCTGGGTGAAGAACGTGAACTATTGAACCACCCTGAGCCCAGGTGGTCACTAAAGGTCAAAGGTGATGCCCTGCCTCTCGCCCGACTTGGGCTAGGGCCCTGAAAAGCAGCTGGCGTGTAAGCTGCGGTGGGAGTTGCAAGCTGCCTCTTGCAGGCACTGATTGTTGCAGGGCAGGGGGTTCTCGAAAGGTATGGGGTGGCCTGGTGTAAAACTCCCTGGGGCCAAAGACAAGCCAAGGTGCTTCAGGGCTCAGGCTTGGGCTTCAAGCCTGGGAGGTGGGGGCTCAGATAACAGGCCCCCTGCGTGGGGCTGAAGCCCAGAGCTTCAGTTTTGCCCTTGCTGCCTCCTTCCGCTGAATGGGGTGGTGTGGTTTGGCTTCAGCCCACACCCGAAGTGGTGGAGCTCAGGAGGGCTGAGGCTTCGGTCCTGCCCCTTGGGATCATGTAGTAATTTCTGTCGCCAGAAAAAGGTCACTGTGCTATGAAGTTCGAGAACCGCTGTCTAGGGCTTGTTGCAAAGTCACTGCATTTTGTGGCTGTCTTTCCCACTTGGCTTGGAATAACCCTACAAGATTGATAGAGTTTTTTTTGTGCAAAAGTGATTTATGCTCTTTAAAATTCCCCTTCTGCTGTTTTATGATCGGAGTGCTGATCATCCACAATTTTCTCAGCATTTAGTATGACAGTTTACATGTGAAAAAACACTATGGACATTTTGCTCATGAAATACAGTATTTGTTATTGCTCTCTTCTACATATACACACAAGCCTTCTGCTTGGCTGCTTTCTGCATTTTTAAGCTGGACACTTATCACTTCGGATCCTGATTCGGGTGCCTGAGAACAGTATTAATAGAAGTACTCTGGTGGGAATGGTCCAGCAATGGGTGGGTTACCTCCAGAGCAGCACTCATCCATTTTTCTCTCCTCCAGAAACAAAATGGCCAGAATACAGGGTTTCATTCACTCTTCCTGGGGTTTCTCAAGCCAAGAAACCACAACCACCCTCCCTTCCATCCAACCAAACCATAGGTCATTGTATGATAAATTATTGTCGCCAAAGAACAACAATAAGCATGTAATGCAACTCAGTTTTGCAAGAAGTACATTTTGAAACTAAAACAAAATTAGTGAGAAAAGCCTAGGACAACATGTGTTTGCATTGCTAGAATAGCTGACAAATTGTATGCCTGGTAGTTGTAGATGTGTTGGTCTCAGGACATTAGAGAGACAAAGTGGGTGATGTAATATCCTTTTTTTGGACCAAGTTCTGTTTGTGAGATACGCTTTTGAGCTACTCAGAGCTCTTCTTAGACATCCAAGTGAATAATGTCTATTTCAGCTACAGAGTGCTCCAGCTTGCAGTAGAGATGACTGTCAAAATTTACGATATTCACAAAACATTGAAACAAGTGACATGTGGGATGTTGTTTGTAGTAATCCTGCATTGATTTTGCTTGCTCTGCTCATCTTTAATCACTGACATAATTTTAGTTAGAAAAGGATGCATTTTTTTAAATGTAAGTGAACTTTTTTAGTGCAATCTTTATTACTTATCTTACTTATGGCATGGCGATCATAATCAAGGTTGGGGCCCTATTTCGCTTGGTAGATAACAGTCCATGCTCTAAAAAGCAAACACTCTAAATAGACATAGCAAGCAAAGAACATGAGGGGAAACTGAGGCATGAAAGTGTGAAATGACTTGCCCACAGTCACACAGCAGATCAGTGACTGAGTCAGAAATAGAACAGATGTTTTTTCATGCTCAGGTCACTGCACTACCCTCTAAACCAGGGGTGGGCAATAAGCGGTCTGTGGGCTGAATGCAGTTTAGCAGGATTAGCCACTGGCACGCCACCAGACAGTTTATTTACCTGACTGTCTGCAGGTATGGCCACTCACAGCTCCCTTTAGCCATGGTTCACCATTGTGGCCAATGAGAGCTGAAGGAAGTGGCGTGGGCTGGACCACTGCTTCCCTCAACTCCCATTGGCTGGAAACAGCAAAACATGGCCAATAGGATGCGTGAGCAGCTGTACTGGCTGACAGTCAGATAAACAAAGCGTCTGGCAACCCACTAGTGGCTATCCCTGGCAAACTGCATCTGGCCTGCAGGACACTTATTGCCCTCCCTGCTCTAAACCATAACGCCAGTCTTAGCAATCACAGGTCACATTTTCAGTGTCGTAGGTACACCAGCACATCCATACCCATAGGATATTAAGAGAAAGATGTACATCATGGTCATCAGGCTGGCCAATGTACCCCGGTCCTCCAGAGCAAAAGGCATGTGTAGCTCCAGCATGATCTAAAGAGTCACAGCTCTGTAACTAAGGGCTAGAACAACTCATATCCTCTGTGGATCAGCACAGAGGGAGACCAGTAACACCCTCATCAGTGAATTACTTCTGCATAAACAAAGCAAACACTTGTAAAAAAATAGATGAAATGATACAGGACTACTTTGTTTTTCCATGAAGCATTCTGTGTTAGTGTAACCCACACACCTAGGCTATGTCTACACTCGCGGCTTCTTGCACAAGTAATATGCAAATGAGGCTAAGCATGGAATATCGCCGAGCCTCATTTGCATACCTATTGAGCCACCATTTTTTTCAGAAGAGGCTCTTGCGCAAGAAGGAGCGTCTACACTGCCCCTTCTTGCACAAGAAAAACCCTCTTGCGCAATGCCGTTCTTCCTGAGAAGTAATAGGTGTAACGGCATTGCCCTAGTGTGGTTACTGAGCAATGCAAGTGGTACCTAGATCACAGCAACAAGTAAGATTAAGAGACCCCTACAGCATGGGCTGGAAGCCAGTTGGCTTTTAGCTCAGAGGGTAGAGGCTCCTATACTCCGCTTCAGAGATCCCAGGTTCAAATTTACCTGGTGGTGGTTACATTAGCAGGCTGGAAATTCACCTTCTCTTGATAAACAGAGCCCACGGTTCATTTGTGTCATGCCTTAATATAATACTTGGCTCTTAAATAGCACTTTACATTTTCAAGGCTTTAAATAAACATTAACTGAAAAATCCACAAACACTCTGACTGGGATTGCCTGTTTGCAGTCTGCCCTCTTTGTAAAGAGCAATGCAGCATTGCAGTGACCCTGGATCAGCCTAGAAGAGACTGGCCTGTTCTGCCCTACTAGGTTGAGGTAAGGCAGCTTACATCCAGCTGATCAGCCTAGAAGAGACTGGCCTGTTCTACACTACTGGCCTGTTCTGCCCTACTAGGTTGAGGTAAGGCAGCTTACATCCAGCTGATTATGCCAGTGTCTATACTACAGCCTTGCTCCAGCTGATATAAGTGCCCTACTACACTGACATCATGACTTTCCCTCCACAAGAATCATAGGACTAATGTCGGTACAGTTAGGGTGACACAGCATCTCCCCCTCCTATGCCTACCTCACAACTGGGTCTGTCACCCAGCAGTAGATGGAGGGCTCCATCTGTAATCCCAGCTACTGTCTGGCCTTTCAGCTGCCTGGCCCCATGGAGCTAGCCAACTAGAGCCTGGGCTCCTGGCTCTCCCTGGGAGTTCAGCTGCCATCTGGGCTCCCCACTCCCTAACAGGAGTTTGCAGCTGTCTGGGCTCCCTGCGGAGCGCTCTATGCATGGAACCTGGGCTGTGGCTCTGTTCCCAGAAGAGAACGGGAAGCAGGGAGCCTGCAGGGCAGCCAGGCTCCAGATGGAGAGCACCACAAGGAGCTGAAAGCCCCAGCAGTAGTCAGGCTTAGGGCAGGGAGCTGAGAGTCTGCTTTCCCATGCTGCCCCTCTTAACTCAGGAAGCGTTCTTCCAGGTGAGGAGCACCATCGACCGTGTGGACATGGAAAACCGCAGTAATTTCTGTGGTGTCTGTAAGTTGATCTAACATAGGTGGACTTAATTTTGTAGTACAGACATGCTCTGTGACTCCCTAAATTAGACTCCCTTCCAATCTCCCACTGCTCCCAGGAGGGAGTAAACTGCATCAGATTAAAAC